TTGAAGGGTAATATTAATTTTAATAATATTAATTTTAATGCTATTTTACCTTTATTTATATCTCGATTTCATCACCTATTTATTTTTTTTTAAAAATCGTTATATTACTTGAATTATTTTCCTCTTTAATAACGCTTTATGCTAAAAAAAATAATACGAAAGTTGAAATTGTATGTAGTATTCTGATTCATATTGTAAAATAGAATTTGGTTAAGTATAATTTATATGACAATATAAAGATTTAAAATCGGTTTAGTATTCTAATCTATATTAGAAAGTCCGTTTCATAAAATACTGTGGTACTCTTTTACATTCCATGAATAATTGTCTCCGAGCATACGAAGTTCTTGTCTTAGAAACATTAATCTAACTCCGGTATGTTAACCGTTTAAATTCGAATTCTATGATTCGGTCGGATACGATTTGTTGAATTTGTCCCTTCTTCGTTAATCTCATATCCCTCCCACTTTTTCAACCTTTATTTCCGTTTCTTGGCCTTTTTCCTCTTATTTCTCTCTCTCTCTCTCTCTCTCTCTCTCTCTATCTATCTATCTATCTATCTATCTATCTCTATCTCTCTCGCTGTTACTAATTATCTAGTTTCCTTTCTTTCTCCATATGTAAATTCATTTTTTTTTTTACATTTTATGAAAAACTTTCCAATGACGGAAGTAAAGATGGGCTCCATTAACTGCATTTAAGGATAAAATATTTTAGCAGCATCGTGATTCCCCACCTGATGAAACGTTAAAAAAATTCTTAACGTTGAAACAAGATGTACAGTTTTGTAGTGGGTATGTGCATGTTCTAATTTAACACTGCATAATATATATATATATATATATATATATATATATATATATTACGATAAACGTGCAATCAATTTACAAAAACCTTTTGGATAATAAGTGCGACATTACTGTAATTATTGAACAATATAGTTCATGCCACTTTGACAGAAAATTTACAGTAAAAAATTCGTTCATCACCATATATGTATATGAACGCACAACTTTTAAAAATTTAAAATCAAACTCAGCGTTGCTACTGCGCGCTCCAAAAACAATAACTCATTTCCAATAGCATTTTCGGATACAACAATACATATATTTTCGTTGTCCTCTTATTACTAAGAGAAAAAACAAGAACAAAATCTATTCTATACCTGAAGATGTCTGTAGGAACAGACGAAAGCTTGTAGTAAAAATAAGAACTAATACGGCAGAAATTTATATAAACAAGGATCATTCCATTCATAACGGATACGGAGGTTTTTGTATATTATTTGAATTGTTTGCGATGATGGATTTCTCGCCAATTAAATCATTAACCTTTGCATAAGTTTTTGTGTGAATAATTCATGAATATATATATATATATATATATATATATATATATTACTTCACCGTTTGGTACAATACTGAGATTTTTGCACAAAGCAATCGACAGGCACGGAATGAAAACTGACCATTGTAAAATTTAAATATTAATATGTGCAGTCCATTTACCCTATCTGGTTAAATTTAGCCAGTTGATTGTAAAACTCGAGTAACCTCTCCAGGGTGTCGGTGGTGCACGGGAGCCAAGCGCTGCCAAGACTACATGGTCTCTCTCTCTCTCATCTCTCTCTTCTCTCTCTCTCCTCTCTCACTCTCTTCTCTCTTCTCTCTCTCTTCTCTCTCTCTCTTTCTCTCCTCTCTCTCCTCTCTCTCTCTATCTTCTCTCTCTTCTCTCTCTCTCCTCTCTCTCTCTTATTTTTAATTTCTGTTTTTGCTTATATTTGTCAATTTTTCATTTTCTAATCTCGTTCATTTTTATCTATTGCTAGTTTAGGTATTAGTACTGTCAAATAGGCAGTATAAATTATTTCATGTGTGTTATATAATAAATTCATATATTTATACGGGGTGTACGGGGAATGTTTGGCCGAGCCTACGGGCACAGATACCCCACATTGAATTCGTCCTTGTGCCACATCGGACCGCATGTGGAGGTTGGTCGATAGCCTGCAGTTGGAGACTCGTCTCTAGCTGTGCTGGTCAAACGCTCTTCCTCCGAATAGAGAGGATCCCCAGGCGTGGCTATGTCGAAAAGCAGAGTCTTGTCTCGGGAAACAGCTACCTGACCCCGTTTTATACGAGGTCTACCTGGAATATTTGGCCAAGTATACGGGATCGGATACACCACATTAAATTCGGCTTTGTGCCATATCTGACCGCGTTGGGCGGTTAGTAGATATCCTGCAGTTGGAGATTCACTGTGGAATTCACTTGACTCACTTCTAGCAGTTGACTACTTCTTCTACGTGCCACTGGTGAATCTTATATGTGTTGTTCTTGTCCTAAGTATTATCGTTCATTACCAACCTTCGTGTGATTATTCTATTCAGTAACCTTCCCTAGTTACAACAATAACTGTGTTTTTGAAAGAAAATGTAACTAGAGTGTTGTAATTTCCCAACGCCACATATTTTCCATCAGAAATAATGTTCTGTGCAACATTTTTTTACCAAGTACAAAACCGCCCTGCCGGCTGGGGCTTCAGAATATGTAAAACGATAAACCACATCCGCTTCCTGGGTAAGACGATAAACTACAACTGACAGCAACTTGATGTTTGAGGATGTTTTGAGGAGCGTGGAAACACCTCTTAATTGATGGTGTTCCCATGTCCACCCTGACTCGTGGTTGTAGCACCTGTTATGCCCCCAGCTATGGGCAAATAGTTAATGACAAACTGGGCTCAAAACGCTATGAATACCAGCAATACATTTCTGTAAAAACCATTACCGGCAATTAATTTTTGAAGAAAAAACTTATTACCAGAAGTATATTTTTGAAAATAAAGTTAGCAGCGATATTTTTTTTAAAATAATATTTTAAAAAGTTCAAAAGAGTTACCAGCAATAAAATATATAAAAAGTTACCAACAATACTTTTAAAAAAATATTACCAACGATTTACCAAAAAAATAATACTAACAATTTACCAAAATAAATATTACCGACAATTTACCATATTTTTGAAAAAAATATTCCCAGCAATAAAAAATGTTGTCGGCATTAAATAACCCATTGAGGTTGATATGCCGTAAAACAAAATAAACCAAACCAATCTAAACCAAAGAATACATATTCTATTCATACGAATCAAACATAAAAATGTTGTCGGCATTAAATAACCCATTGAGGTTGATATGCCGTAGAACAAAATAAACCAAACCAATCTAAACCAAAGAATACATATTCTATTCATACGAATCCATCCTAAAAATCTTGTCGTCATTAAATAATCCATTGAGGTTGATATGCCGTAAAACAAAATAAACCAAACCAATCTAAACCAAAGAATACATATTCTATTCATACGAATCAAACATAAAAATGTTGTCGGCATTAAATAACCCATTGAGGTTGATATGCCGTAGAACAAAATAAACCAAACCAATCTAAACCAAAGAATACATGTTCTATTCATACAAATCTATCCTAAAAATGTTGTCGGCATTAAATAACCCATTGAGGTAGATAGGTCGTAAAACAAAACAAACCAAACCAAAGCAAATACATTTTCCAGATCCGACAACCACTATTTTTCCCAGATATCGCCCTTTGTGATTTTTTTCTCTTCAAAATCAAATCTCACTTTAAAGGAACAAGATTTCCTGACGTCGAGGAAATACAAAAGAATGCAACGAGGTAGCTATTCGCTATCCTCCACAACAAAAAATTTCTAAATATGCTTCCATCAATTAAAACGATGCCAGATAAAGTGTGCTGATTCAGAAAGGGACTACCTCGAAGGAAATTAAATCCCGAATTGATATTTGTTGTAGTTTTCTTTTTATACCGCCAGAACCGATACGTTTTGATCAGACCTTGTATATGTCTGTCATAAATTTTCGGGATAACAGCTGAGACATTACTCTATTTATTGAATAATTTAGTTCTTGCCACATTGACTGATAAACTCCTACAACAAAAAAAATTCTCAAATTGCCATATTAGTAAAAAAAATCTCACTCTCTTTAGTTTTCAAAAAATTCAACCTTACCTTTGCGACTGCACGCTCCAAAAGTTTGTATCCGTTAAAAATAACACATTTAAAAAAACAACATATTTCGATTTGCATTTCATATTTTCGTCTCGGATACTACCTGAATTTTACCAAAAAAAAAAAAAAAATAATTTCCATGCCTGAAGTTGACTGAATGTACAATTGAAAGTACGTGCATATTAAACAAAGACCATATAATTTTAAAAAAAACAAGGATCATAACATTCATCGAGTGATTTGTATGTTAATGTACATTTAAAATTTTGTTTGTGAGGGTATTTCGCCATTTTATATCATTAACTTTACTAATCTACTTTTTGTATGAATGATTCATTTTAATATATATATATATATATATATATATATATATATATATATATATATATATATATATTATACCACCAGTCCCGATACTTTTTGATCAGTCCTTATATATACATATATATATATATATATATATATATATATATATGGTACGTGCTTCTCCTCAGTAACATTTTTTATTTTATTTCATTACTGTCTTCCCTTTGGGGAATTTTCTATTTGTTTCTTTCCTGTGTCCAATCTAAGCACTTTCAAGCGCTTTCTTCTTTGACTAAATAACCATAATAAAAATGAAAATCTCCGAGACGTCAAAGTGTTCTTTTTGTTGTAGTATCATAAAGAAATTGTCAGTCTTTTGAGTCGATCATGACGTTGAATATTTTAGATGAAAGAAGCACTAAACTAAAAATAAGTTCTCAGTCTGGTCGTCGAAAGGTGTGAGGGTCAGATGATTTGTGGAGAGAAAAGGCAAGCAGGTGGAGAATAGATAGACCGAAATATATACAGACAGATACCTACAGACATAAGTACATAAATATATACAGTGAAACATATGTAAATATGTATAGACGGTAGGAATGTTGGCGATAAGGTTTTATGTATATGCACAGAGTGACTAAGTTAAGTATAAACAGATCGAGAAAGAAAGTAAAAAAAAGTAAAAGAAAGAAGATAAAAGAAAGAAAGAAGCCACGATAGATTGAGAGATGTGAAGAAATAAAGAAACTGACAATGGTAGATGAGAAAAGAAACAAACAAAAAAGAAAGAAAGTCAATGGTATTTACAAAGAGAGAAAAAAAACTAGTCATGATAGGCCGGTCGATAAAAACCAAAAAGAAAGAACGACAGAAACTGGCTATTATATGCTGGTATAAATAAGGAAAGAAAGAAATCACTTATGATAGACTAATAGATGAAAAAAAATGGAGAAAGAAAAAAAGAAAGAAAGTACTCACTCTTTAGAGCTTGATAGATATGAACAAAGAGAAAAAAAAACTTGTCGTGATAGACTAATAGGTGAGACAAAAAAATAAGAGAAAACAGGAACGAAACTACTCAGGTTAGGATGATAGATGAGAAAAATTTTGAAATTTCTACGACCAGACTGTGTTCGATTGAGATATCTATATAATAAATGCGAATGTCGGTGTGTCACTGTGTCACACTTTTTCGACTTTGCTCCCAGAGTCCATAACTCGATATATCATGCCATTTTGGAATCAGACCGACTCCGTGAGCAAATTAAAACCATTCCGGACCGGATCAGGACCGCAATCCTGAAATTTTGGATTCCCAATTTTTCATTATTGTGATTGTTTTCGGCGAATTTTTTACGTGATTTTTTTTTTTTTTTTTTTTTTTGCGACGAATTTTTTGTACGATAATTTTTATATAATGGAAATAAATAAATTTGGTAATAATCAAAATTAATTGCGAAATCCATTGAACGTCACCCATAAAAAAAAAATAATTGTTCATACAGAAAGTAAGGACCTACGTACATCAAATTGTCTTTAAATTAAGTGGCGACAAAAGAATTATCGTTGAACTTTTGTAAATTTAAATAATAATGCAATATTTAAATGCAGCAATCAATTTTGAGTTCTTCTGTAGTTTATTGTTGCCGATCACATACGCCAGCATGATGCTTCGCAAAAAGAAATCTTCTCTAAAACAGGACCAGACTGCAATCAAAAGAGCTAAGGCTGTAGTGAGGTAAAGAAAGTCCCGTACAAATGAAACCCCGGACCAAACGGAAGCCAGTTTCAATGCTGAGAATATATTGTGACATAGGGACTCTCAATCTCCTGAACAAGCAGATGAGCCAAATAAGAGCCCTTCGCAAGAGTTAGCTTAATTGTCTACTGATAGGGCGGGTTTTGAGTTAGTTAATAATAAAAAGCGGTGGTTATTCGTTTTCCGACTGCACCCGTCTGCTAGAGTCGTTATATAGTCCATGTTGCCGACGCTTGTCGATCGCAATTTTGTCTATTTTTGCAAGACCCAGAGAGCGAAACCTTATACTGGGAAGAGAGAGTGCACAGTGTAGCGTGATCAGTGAGCAGAGCAACGTTAGTAAGCTTTAACCCTCGATCACGATCCCCTGTGAATTTGTGGCCTGTATTGCCGAGATATACTCTGCCAATGATCAATGATTTCCCCTTTCCTATTTGCAAGCTTAACACTTGCCCAACTCATTGGATGTTCTTGGAAGAACTTAGCATTTCCATGAATTATACGGTACCGTTTATTTCTATCAAAGCAGTTTCTAAATTGATATCTTCTATATGCAATGACACTTTAAGAGCTAGAGCCAGTTCTTGAAGCGCTTCTATGTTTTATGATGGGGTCGAGTGTGGGAGAACAGCTCGCTGTATTTGCTTGGGTATTCTGCTGTTGTGAAGTCGAACAACATGGCGATGAATGACAGCTTCGATGGTATTAGGTTTTTCAAAGAAAGCACACACAAACACACACATGCATGCACACACACACACACACACATATATATATATATATATGTTTCATTAAAAACTACAGAGAAGGTACTGCGATTAAGCTTTTTATTTAATTTTCTTTAAGTTCGAACAAGTTTTCTTTTCTGGGCACGGAGTGTGTAGAAACTGCCCAAATGTTCTGTAATTGCGAGCTCTTTCGGATTATATTTTTAGCCATTATCAAGGATGATTTGATTTTTGCTTTGTAATTGGGTGTATGGGTTGTGTATATGTTTCTAGAGTTATAGGAATGTTTTCATTTCCGAACACAGTTAGCACATGGTGGCCGTGTTCGTCGTTAATATTACTGAGTGTTGGCTTTTTCTGTTTTATTATTAAGGCTTCCATTATTTTTAATCTGTTTTTACATGTGGATGAGGTTATTATGTTTCTATTTTATACTAGTGTGTTTCGGATGGAGTCTGGTAAGTTTGTCTGTTTAAATGTGTTCTAATAGAGCTGTGGTCAGATGGGTGCAACGTAAGTCGTCTGGATAGGTATGTAGTTGTGTGACCAATGTAATTATTTATAAATTCGGACTGATCAGGAACACTCTTTCTTAAGGGGCATTTTACTCATAAATAAAGTTCGTGCATTGTAATTTTGATTTTTCTGGTGTATTATTTTGGGCATAAGGTTAACTATTTTAATTTTTTATAGTATATATATATATATATATATATATATATATATATATATATATATATATGTATACTATAAAAATTAAATATATATATATATATATATATATATATATATATATATATATATATATATTTGAATAAACACAATTTTATGCTCATATTTTGTGGTGGGGACCGAGAAAATATTTCGGCCAACGCTTCTTCAGGGACCAATCGTTGGCATAGCTGAAGTAATGACTTGGAATTCTTGGAAATACGGCTGGAACACGTCTAAAACACATTTACGATTAAAATAAATACATAAAGTTTAGAGAATAAGTAAATGAACCAATCAGGCCATAAAACAATTAAAGAATCGCTCACTAACCTCTAAATATGTTTAAAGACCGGAAAAACTTATCCTTTTATCAGCAGAGAGATCTTTGCTGCAATTTAAGACAAATGACCTTCAAAACTAAGAAACGAAAAAAAAAAGGGAAAGGAAAAAAGGAAAAGGAAAAAGTATAATATTAAAAGAGGAAGAAAGAAAGATAAAAATTTCAATATAAGGTTTTATATTATATTGCTGTTACTTACAATGAACTCTCTTTGTATTAATATCCTCCTTGAAATTATCCTACTAATTATCATTATATATATATATATATATATATATATATATATATATATATATATATATATATATATATAAAGTGATTAGCACCCACAGAAATGAAACATAGAGTTAAACAACACGGACGTCATAATATACCTTATGTACCTTTCAGCTAATACTTTTTCAAAGGTATACGTTGGCAATTGGGAATACAAATGAAGACACACTCAATAAAATAAATGAGGAGGGAAAGGTGGAACGCGATTAAAAAGATAAATTTTAATTACACACAATTAAAATTGAACAAGGTGGGAGTGAAAATAGCAAGTTCCACAAGAGTATAGAATGGAAAAAAGACACACACAATCCCTCCAGCAAAAGCAAGGTACGTAAAAAATGGTCCTTAGGTCTGCACAGGTTAGGCTGATGAAATTTTATAAATGCGGCTTCCAAAATCGGAGACGGTATACCGAGCGAGTACTGTGTAAAACTGAAAACGTCATAATCGGAGGCACAAGAATGGTTGTCGAGCAAATGGTGACCGATGGCAGATTCATGGACTGCCTTATTCTTTTAGTTATTCTTATAGACTAGCTGAAGACTACCAGAACGCATATATATATATATATATATATATATATAATCGACTCTCCCGTCGCGTTCGACGTATGAGGGTCAGGCCGATAAGTCCCCAGGAAACCGACATCCCGACACCGTCACATGAGATTTGATTATAGTGGTGAAGGCCTCGTGCAGGACCAGCCACACTTTTTGGAGGGACGAATACAGAAACCTGGTGCACCGAATGCATGCCACAAGGTTCCCAAACGACCCTCCGCAGGTTTTGAATTCAGAGTTGTCCTTCTCCTAGACCAGTTGCCATCCAAGGCTATAGAACCCAGTCTGTCCATATATATATATGTATATATATATATATGTATATATATATATGTGTGTGTGTGTGTGTGTGTGTGTGTGTGTGTGTGTGTGTGTGTGTGTGTGTGTGTGTGTGTGTGTGAAAATGAAAATAAATTGATAGAATGGATAGATTTCTGAATAAAAAGTGAAAGTCCACATATAAACCATACTGGAATCTGCAAGTTTAATAAACGGCTAAGATTCGAAGAGACTTGGTGTCACATAATCCTCCACTGCTACCCCCCACCACCAGACACCCCTGGTTAAAGATGCAAATGACTATTACAACAGGCCTCTGGCTTCTGGGAGCTGAAATGCGCACTTGTCGCGTCTGTTTGGTCCCCTTTACCGCCGACCATGCGGCAGGGTGCAGACAGCGATAGCTTCAAAGGAAGGGAATGTGGGTGGCGCGACCGTGTGTGTGCGTGTGTGCGCGCGTGTGTGTGTGTGTAATATTTGGTGTAAGGTCAGCAAGTACATATTGGGATCTCGAGAAGCAGGTTCCCCATTGCTGAATCTCTTCAATATTCATTCGCATTTCTGAATATGGAAATGAAACAGCAGGGTACGCGTTTCTCACGGTGGAGTTGCATCTTAATCACATTAATATTAAATACAAAAAAGGTTCGAATAATTATATTATCAATACTAAATTGCACAGGAACACATATGCACTCACACACACAACAAAAAAATCACACTAACACACACACATATAGGAGACTGTTGAATTTCAAATTCTACATCCTAACGAAATCCTTCTATGGCCAGATTTAATCTCCTCTTAGCGATTATCACCTCATCCTCTTCCCATGGTCTCTTTCTTTCTTTTCCCTTCCCCTTTTTTCATTTTCCTTTCTTTTTCATCCACCCACGACTACTTAGTGCATTGGATTGCCTTTCATATCTACATGTAAATTCTAGAAAACATTTTATGAAAATTTCCAAAGAACGGAAGTAGGGGAGATTTGCTTCGATAACTGTATTTCTGAAAAAAAGTTTTTAGTAACACCGTAATTTCCCACCTGATGAGACGTCTAAAAAAGGTTTTCCCTTTTTTCGACGTGTTTCGATGTGTATAAAACACATCACATGAAACGATTGTAAATTAGTGGTGAGTGAACGATTTAATCAGATTTAAAAGCAAAATACAGCCTCATTTTTACGAAAATAGAAAAAAAAAGAATAGAGGTGGGATGGATATAAGGTTTGTGAGCTTTGCTTACATCAACCAATCAAATATGTCCTACGTTAAATTCAAACTAAAGGAAGAAGCAACAATTAAAAAATTATTTTCTATAAATGTGTCATGACCCGAGGATTTGAAATCAATGATAGCAACAGGAGCGGATGTG